CTCCCCTTGGTGCCCTCGGTGACGCCGTGGAACAGTCCCTGCCGGCAGCACTCCTGGAATTCCTGGATGATCACCTTGCTCCCGTGGACGTTGCCGTGCAGCAGCGGCAGGAGGTGGCCCAGGACTGGGGAGGAGAAAGGATGGGCAGAGGTGTGTGGTTAAAAGGTCAGGGAAAGCCTGACTGGGGTAAAAAAACCCATTGGGATGGTTTTTGGAGGGGAAAGAAATAGGTTGGGGATTAATTTTGAGGATGGGATTGCCCAGAGGAGATGTGGCTGCTCAAGGCCAGGCTGGAGAAGGGAAGGCTCCAGGGAGACCTTGGAGCCTCTTCCAGGGCCTGAAGGGGTCCAGGAGAGCTGGAGAGGGATTTGGGACAAGGGATAGAGGGACATGACACAGGGAATGGCTTCAAAGTGAAAAAGTGGAGATTTAGATGGGATATTGGGCAGGAATTCCTGCCTGGGAGGGTGGGGAGGCCCTGGCACAGGTTGCCCAGAGAAGCTGTGGCTGCCCCTGGATCCCTGGAAGTGTCCAAGCCCAGGCTGGAGCAACCTGGGATAGTGGGAGGTGTCCCTGCCCATGGCAGGGTTTGGAATGAGATGATCTTTAAGGTCTTTCCAACCCAAACCATTCTGGAATTCCATGATTGTAACAAGAGCTAAATTTGATGTAGGAAAATCCCCCCCCCCCCGAGATGGAACCTTCACCCCTCCTGAGCCCTTCTGTGAGTTATTCCCACCCTGGTGTTCATCAGGTGCAGGAGAAGCTCAGGACTGAAACCCAACACCCAGACCAAACCCTCTCCCTCCAAACAATCAACAGATCTCTGGGCTCAAGCCCATCCTAAATCTGAGCCTGCTCAAGTCCTGTTGGCTTTGTTGCCCATCCTAAATCTGAGCCTGCTCAAGTCCTGTTGGCTTTGTTGCCCATTCTAAATCTGAGCCTGCTCAAGCCTTGCTGGCTTTGTTGCCTGGATTGTCCAGGGCATGAGTTTTTGGAGAGTGTAACTGAGGCCACCTCAGCTGAATGAACACCCAGAAAACTCCTTTCCAAGAGCTCCCAGAGATTCCCTGGACTTCAGACTGGTCAGGAACAGGCCCTTCTGAGTGTAACACTCCATAAACCCCCTGCTCTCCCCAGAGCAGAGCACAGCAGTGTGTAAAAGCACAACCCCTGAGCCCTTCAGGTCTTACTTTGCTGATCTCTGGCTCTTTTTTTGCTACATTTCTGGATCTGCTGCTCTTCCTCTGCCACAGGGGGGTCCAGGACACAGGCTGTGAACTGCTGGAGAACCTTGAGGTCGGGGTTAGCGCTGCTGTCCCGCTCTGCCCCTTCCCACACACAGCCTATTTTCACAGGCTGGAGGACGTGGAACCTCTTCCCCTTGGCAATGAGCTCATCCCACTCCTTGGCCTTCAGCTTCTGACGGACCTTCTGGTTCTCTGGGTCACACTCCTGAAGCCAGGGGAGAGAAAAGAGCCATCACACCCACACTGCAGGGAACAACAGGAGCTTTGGGTCGTGTCCCCTGAGCCCCACAAAGCTGCTCCTGACCCGTGCAGGCCCCAGGGAGTCCCAGCCCCTCCCTGCCAAATATTGACATCAAACAACACTGACGTTTCCTCACTTGGGAACAGGGCAGGAAAGCCAGGGGCACCCAGAGTTCACTTACTTCTGTCACACCTTCATCTTCAGATAGGTACCCATGGGGTACAAAAAACCCATCGTCCTCATCTTCATCCTCTCCCTCCTCTTCATCATCCTGAAAATAAATCCATGAGGGATTGCACCCACGAGTTCCCAAATGGTTTTTTCCCCTCTCCCAGTTGGCTCCCAAATCTACTTTTTCTTCCCTCACCTCTTCACTGTGGGAGAGACTTTCTCCAGGCTCCTCCTCTTCCCATTCCTCATCGCTATCCACCTCATAATCCAGCAGTTTCTGCAGGAAATTCCAACATGTTCCCATGAATAACTCAAAGGCACGGCACCAAACCCCATCCAGGGGCTCCAACCCCTCAGGAACGGCGGCGAAGAGCCCAAAGAAGGTGCTTACAGTGTCCTTGGCCCAGGGATTCCGGGCCCGGATGAGGGTGGTGCTCTTGTTCCAGGTGCCCCAGTAGGCAGGCCGGTGGTTCTCGCTGAACTGCAGCAGCTTCATCCTCCCAAACTTCTCCCTCTCGGGAACGCCGTCCCTCTGGCAGTTGTCCACCACCACCACGTCGCTGGGGACACGGGGACGGAGGGGAGGTGGCTCCAGTGGCCCCACAGAACACCCCCCTCCTGCTCCTGTGGCCCCACAGAACACCCCTTCCTGCTCCTGTGGCCCCACAGAACACCCCT